CAAAAGTGATTGAGCGCCCCATGTCAAATTTTGAAATTCGATATGGCCCGCTTCCTGGCAAACGCTCTTGAGTTAAGTGATCAAAATCACGACCCTCTAGAGCATGTTTCGGTAAAATAGAAGAAATTCCCATAATCAGAGGAAGCTCTGGATTATAAAATTTCTGACCATTTTCTTCCCCTTGAGGTTTAAAGATAAACTTCACCGTATAAGTATCTAAAACTTCACAGGATTCAACGTTACGACGAGACAAACGTAAATGGGGACGCCCCTTCTCTTTTAAAAGCTCATGCGTAAATCGCATGTCTTCTGCAGTCACAGGTTGACCATCTGCCCAACGGGCCGCAGGATTAATATGAAAAATCACCCAAGAGCTATCAGGAGCAACTTCAACAGACTCTGCAAGATAAGCATAAACGGTAAAAGGTTCATCATCTGCCCGCTTCATCAAGCTTTCAAAAACAAGCCCCATACCAAACACGCCAACCCCTGCAGCAGGAACACCTTTCACACAATAAGGATTCAAAGTATCAAAGGTCCCAATAGCTCCAATAAAAATGCGTCCTCCTTTAGGGGCATTTGGATTGACATACCCAAAATGAGAAAATCCTTGTGGATATTTGGGGGCTCCACGGACAGATAGCGCATGAAGTTTTTCCGCGCTAGCTTGCATTCCAATAGAAATAAAACTTAAAATCAAAAATGCTAAAATCGCTTTACGCACGATCTGTACCTCCAACTGTTATAGAAGAAACGAGTACTGTTGGCTGCCCGACACAAACAGGAACACCTTGCCCTGCTTTTCCGCATGTTCCAATGCCTGGGTCTAATTCTGCATCATTTCCAATCATCGTCAGTTTTTGCAAAACTTGAAGACCATCACCAATGAGCGTTGCCCCTTTTACAGGAGCACCTATTTTTCCTTTTTCAATGAGGTACCCTTCTGATACTTCAAAAACGAATTTTCCAGAAGAAATATCAACCTGGCCACCTCCAAGATGTGCCGCATAAAAACCCCGATCTACAGAAGAAAGGATATTTTCTTCTGTATGGTGTCCGCTCAACATCATCGTATTGGTCATACGGGGAATCGGAATATGGGTATAGCTTTCACGCCGCCCATTTCCAGAAGAACCCACACCCGCCAAACGACCATTTAAGCGATCTTGCATAAACTTTTTCAAGTATCCATCTTCGATCAGGATATTACGCTGTGTTGTTGTCCCTTCATCATCTATTGTAAGAGACCCACGACGCTCAGGAATTGTACCATCATCAACAACAGTCACTCCAGGCATCGTAATGCGTTGCTCTAATTTATCTGTATAAACAGAAGTTTTCTTTCGGATTGCATCCCCTTCCAGCCCATGACCAATGGCTTCATGAAGTAAAACACCTCCCCAACCATTTGACATCACAACAGGGATAGAGCCCAGATTAACAATTGCTTGACGCACCGCTTCATCACACACAGCTCTCCAATGGGACGGATCGCAGGCAAAACAGAGATCTTTGCGCCCTCCGCCACCATAGTAGCCTGATTCTTGACGCCCATTCTCAGAAACCACAACGCTAGCATTCAGACGTGACATGGGGCGTACATCATAGAAAATATGGCCTTCAGGACGCACAATCATGACAACTTTCCAAGAAGCTCCTAATCTTACCATCACTTGGGACACTCTTGGTTCTAAATCACGTGTGTAAGCATCAATTTGTTTCAACAAAGAAACCCTTTGATCAAAAGTTGTTCCTCCCAAAGGGTTGTTTGCTGTATATAAGACCTTTTGAGGCGATGAAGAAAACAAGGATAAAGCCCCTTGATGACCCTTATTTGCAGAGAAAATCGTATTCGACAAGCCCTTTAACGCACCTGCTGTTAAAGAGCTCGTATGAGCATAATTGACCTGCTCTCCCAATACAGAACGCAATCCAAAACCTTGTCCTGTATCAAAGCTTGAGTTCCGAATTACACCATCAACAAGGGAAAGGGATTCACTAATCGTATATTCTGCAAAAAGCTCCCCATCATCCGCATGAGACAACCCTTTTTTCACCCATAACAGAACATCATCCTTATGGATTCCTGTTTCTTCAAAAAATAGCTTTTGCGCAATTTCTGCAGGAGATTTATCTAAACTTGTTTTTGTGGGCGGTAACGTAGACGTCATAATGTAAAAGCCACTTAGATTAATTCATTGGAACGTACTATGGCATATATAATGCTGGAATCAACGGATATTGTCATTATTATACCCTAAACAATCAAAAAATCTTTTTCTAAAAGCCTGATTTTGAAAGACCAATAATGAAGCTCTTTAACTCAGAATACACGTGCAGGGCCTCTGTATCTTCCTATTTTGTTTCTTGGAGCGGTGGGAAAGACTCTACTCTTGCCCTTTATCGAGCAAAACAGCTTTACGGCCTTCCTAAGTTTTTGATGACCATTATGAATGAAATTGGAGAACGTTCTGCAGGCCATGGCCTTCACAAAGACGTCCTAATCGAACAAGCAAAATGTCTTGAAATTCCTATTCTTTTTTGTCCCTCAGCCAGTTACGACTATGAAAATAAGTTTAGAGGGTTCCTGAGTGCCTTTAAAAACGATGGTATTGAAATGGGCGTTTTTGGAGACATTCACCTTGACCGTTCCTGGGTTGATACTCAATGCAAAGATTTTGGGATGAAGGCCTTTGAGCCTTTATGGCTGAATGACTCTAAAACATTAATCAAAGATATTATTTATCAAAAATTCAAATCTCAGGTCATTGCTGTATCGGGTGAAAAAATGTCTCCAGATTTTCTGGGCCAGACATACAGTTGGGACCTTATTCCCAAGCTCAAAGAAGGTTCCATAGACCCACTTGGAGAACAAGGTGAGTTTCACACAATTGTCACCGATGGCCCTCTTTTTAAAAAACCTCTTCAACTTTCTCCGATCGGTAAAGTCCAACGGGGACAATATTGGTTTTTAGACGTGAAGGCCCAGAAAGAAGAAGCCCCATCGCCCCTTTCTCACCCATTATAGGAGGGGCTTTGACTGCTAAAATCTTCCTAAAGAAGCAGCTTGTTTTTGGGCTCACTTGATAT